GGAGGACAGGAGAAAGTGTACTGCCTACCCCCTGCTAGTGCTGACTATTCAAGTATAAAAAGACTTGGCAAGTAAACCCAATCATACATAATTCTCAAATTATTCCTCATTAGTCCTTCTGTTGAAAAATGGGTGAGAGGATAAGAGATAGCAAGAGCAAGAGGAGGGAGGGAAAGGACTCATTGAAATACAAGCTTGTTGTAGTTTGTAACTTTTACAAATAATATTGCCTTGTATTATTCTTAGGAGGGGTTTGATTTCCATAGGAGAGCACCTGTGCTATGAACCAGTCTGGAGTAGCAGAAGTCCTTCAAACACTAGGAATTTTGTTTACTCTTTTATAACAGGATTTTTTGTGCCTTTTGTTTATTTAACTGGAATCAAAGGTGGAAAATAAAGCATAGGCTTGTAAGGAATTTTGACAGTGCTGTAAGAAATGAGCAAAGCGACCTTGCTGTTTGCTCAGCTAGCGGCTGCTTCAGCACATTGTGTGGAGATGTTGTTTGAATCACTTGCTTGTCCTGCCAGAGATTAAAAGTATCAGGCACAGCCCAGGATTATTACAAATTGCACATATGCAGTGAGGTCCCCTCGGCATCCCCCAGGGGAAGTTGCTGTGGGTATTGTGCACTGTGCTGAATCTAAGGCAGCAAGAGGAGGTTTGGTGTGTGCAGCCATTACACTCGTCACTCCATGCGCTCAGGAGCCTCGGGCGAGAAGGGTTGGTTTGCATATCTCAAGCAAATGATGGATAAATCACAGTCTTGGACTTGGAAGCCTAAATCCCGACCGTGTTGCGCCTCAGGTGCGTGCGTGCTGTGGTTATGGGCAGAATGTAAAAGCAGGACGATGGGGTGGGGTGAGAAAGCAAAGGGTGGTCACCCCCTCTTTGGCCACTCTTCCCATTTCAGCTCCCTGCTCCTCCCACCCTGGCTCACTGTGTGCTGTGCCCGGGTCTGTGGGGAGCAGCGGAGCTCAGCTGCTGTGGGATGGCGTCACCCGCCCATAAGTCATGCTTTGGCTCTCTGCATGTCCATGCCAGCTGATTTGTGGAGCTGTGCCAGGCGCTTGCGGAGGAGGAGAGGCCTCCGGAGGACAGTCCTGGAGGATGGAAACCTTTCAGTCAGCACCTTTAAGCGGTGGTGCTACTAAAGAGGCTGGGACAAAATACCACTCTGGAAGTGATGTTCAGGTGAGACCTTGCAGGAGTAGTTTCTGATTTCCAGGGAATGTACACTCCCTTAGTTTCTACTTTACTTGCTGTGCACCTAGGTTATGGATAGAAATATAAAGGGAATTTAAGACTTAATAGGACAGTAATATTTTTCCATGGAAAACAACAGTCTTTGCTGTTATTGTGTTGGATTAAAATACTCCTTAAGGTGTTATCGGGTGATTCCCTACATGCAGTTTAGGGTAACCTTGTGGTAAACTCCGTGAAATGTGTATGCTTTTTCTTATTTATAATTTAGATCCAGATCAGTTTTTTTTTTAATGGTTTAGGAGAGTTAGGAACTGGAGCATAATTGTGCAGAGATACTGGTGATTTTGCCTGTTCTTCCATGGTTATCTTTGTGCTTTGACACATCAGCTGGTCCTTTGCTGAAGGTAGGTCCCTCTCTGACGCCTGGCTCCTGCTCCCTCTCTCAAGAGCAGCAGCACAGAGGGGACCGCACCTTCTGTCACCCCTCACCCATAGCCTACCTTCACTGAGTCAGCGACTTGTAAGATCTTAGCAGACTCATGGCCTTATTTTATTTTATTTTATTTTATTTTATTTTATTTTATTTTATTTTATTTTTATATTGTTTGAGATCTGATTCACTAAACAGGCAAGAAAATACATTTTTTAAATAAGATGAAACTTTGAGATCTGTGCCATGAAGTTATTCCTAAGAGACCTTCTCAGCCAGACACAGACAAACTGGTTTGGTGAGGATGTGCTGATCGATTTGATGTTGTTCCTGCCCAAAACTCTTGTGTCTTATACATAGGCAGAGTGCAGTTGGACCATGTAGATGGAGATCCATGGGTTTCCCATTAGTTCGTTGCTCCCACAGCTGTCTGTAGTGCAGCAGGGCTAGGACAGACCTGCCTTCCCTGCCTCCCAGGCTTCTCTGATACCTTTCAACACAACACCGGGCCCCATCGCAGCCCTGTCACGCCTCATCCCAAGCCTGATTTTCTTAAATTACCCTCTGTCCTGTCCTTAGCACAGCACTGCGGCTCGATCCTGCTTGGTAAATGTCCACAATAATCAGCATCTTTTTTCCCACGGCCAGCATCCTTGACCAGACCCAGGGTTTGAATTTCAGGGTGAGGAAAACTAGATACGTGTCCCTTCCTCCCCTCCTCGGCAGCAGTCATCGCTGTTGTCTCCTCTACAGGCAGGATCCCACCAAATCATCCTTCCCTTCTCCTCAGCCCAGGTGGCAAAGGCATCCAGGGACCTTCCTCCTCCTCTGTCCTCTGCTGCGCTGTGCCTGCCTCTCCTCTTCCCTGCTGCCTTTGTAATTTCTCCATTCATGGGAGTCCTGTCCCCTTCTCCCTCTGATTTCTCTTCCAAATGATGCCTGTTTCAGTCCAGCTCTACTCCGTATTTACGCCTCCCTTGGGAGTAGTGCTCTGCACCTCATAGCCTCTGAGATTATATTCAGTTGAAGTGGTGTGGAAGGGAAACAGCACAAGCCTCATCACTTGGCTGCACTGACCCCTTTGTGTCCCCGCTATCCATTCAGTCTGAGTGGCTGGGCACAGATCCTTTCACTGAAGCTCCAGGTTAGCAGTCAAGGACAGAAATTATTATAATAAAACCCTTCCATTATACTTGGTTTTCCCCCATGTTTATTTTTAAGATGCCCGAAGACCGTTAATCAACCAGTAAGTGCATGACGACTTGGGTCACAGTGTTCCAGTAATTCATAATTAGAACTAAGGGTTCAAGGCTGCGTGATTTGCCTTTTAAAAACGAGATGAAGAGATCTTTTGCCAACCATCCCATTAGAAAAAGGCTTCTGGTCCATGAAAGGAGATGAAATGGGGGGATCATTGAAGAATAATTTTGTAAATTGACTGCTGACAGTCATTTGTTGAGGCAATTGTACCCCTACAACTATAAACCAATTACTAGCAGCGATTTTTTCTTTAAGCAATTAAATGCCTTTATGTGAGATACCTTTACCACATTCAAATAAGAAATAATTCTGCCTCAGACACTGTTCTCTATTGTTGCCATTTGATCTTTCTCTGGAGTTGGACTATTATCAGGATTAAGATGGAAAGTCGTAATAAAATAAATGACTTGATGACTAATGCCTTGGTCCAGAAGAACCAAAATTAGCATCCTGTCCAGCCAGGCAAGGGCAGGAGGTGAGATGAGGCTGCCTCCAAAAGGCACTGGGTTCAGTTTTAAAAGTCAAATGATGCTCTGCACCGCAGGCTCGGATCTCGCTTCCCACGGACTCTCGTGGGCAGACAGTCTTTGTCTTGCTTTAGAGACAGGCACATCTTGGATGTTGCAGCCCTAATTTACCTCCCTGAGAGTGCCCCAGACAGCCTATTCAGCATCTGTGGGAGCCAAGGCAAGGTGTGAGGGGACAGCAGTGTCACCAAGGCCAGAGAGCGCACTAAACCGGGATGTGCACAACCTGGTAAATGGTAGGGCTTTAGGATGCATGTGCAGTTGCGGGCCCAGATCCAGCTGGGTTCATTGGCTTCCATTGTCCATTGAGGCTCCCAGCCCCCTCTTAATTTTCTATGCAGGAACCTGGTCAGGGTTAGGGACATAAATCAAGGGAGGTAATATGGAGGTAGATCACACAAATGTGGTTTTGTGCCTATAAAATCTCTACTTTTGGTTTTGCAAAAAGATGCCAGATCAGAGTAAATGACACCAAGACTGTATTGTCTCACAGAATAGTTTAAATGTCAAAAAATGCAGAAGTAAATTTAATAATACCTACAGCAGCAGTTGCTTCATATTCATTTAATTGACACTCCAAAGAAAAATTACATCACTCTCCCACCAAAGCTTCCTCCATATTAAAAGGGATGTTAATGGTGAGCCCCATGGGAAAGATAAGAGTTAATAGCATCGATATTCTATCTCAGGTTACACAAAAAAAATCTTTACACTCCGTTGCCATTTGTATTGCTGCATCAAAGGTGCCTGGATGTGGACTAAGACTGTTTTATGTTAGAAACTGTACAAACATAGAATAAAAATGTTTCCTGTCTTGTTGCCAAGTATTTACCAAATAATAAAAATGCGTATCAGTAATGCTGATCAACAAATAAGCAAGCCCTTCAAAATAATAGGTGCACTATTAATTAAATTAAATCTCAAGCTGTCTAGAAGAAATCTTAGGCAAATGGGAAGAAATAAATCTCAAACATAATAAGAATCTCTTAATTCTTGTCTTAGATAATGCAGTGTATTAATCCCATGAAAATAGCCTTGACACACAGTATTATGTGCACTTCTAAAACCATGATGAAGTAGGACATTTTTTTAATAACCTAAAGAATCTTCTCAATTTTAAACCTGTTGTATCAGTAGAAGTTGCATGTCGCTGCAGCTGAGGAAGGTGTACCCTGGATTTTGTGTATCTGTTGATTTGCCACAAAGATGAAAGCATGAATGTCTTCATCACAAGATGTTTATTCCCTTTCTGGGGTGTGTAAGCAGAAGTGCCAGACATGTTGCCAGGAGGACAGTTCTTCCTGCCACTAGTTGAAAGTAGTCTCTTTATGATAACCTCACAATTCCACAGAGATACATCGAGTTTAAGTTGCTGTAGGAGAGATTCAGATTAGATACCGATGAGGCAAGTAAAAACAATGGTGCTGAAGGCTGGACAGCCTGGGGAGCCAGCGGTGATCTCCCAGGAAAGGTCAGGCAGACGTCCCCGCGGCAGGGTGAGCTGCAGCTGCTGACTTTGCTCTGGGGTGGCGCGGCGGGACTGGGTGACCCCGCATAGCTCCTCCTGGCCTCTGGTTACCCTGTTGTCTGGTATCTTGTGCGAATGCTCTGTGCCCTCTGCGGTGATGCCCGCTGGTGTTGATAAAACTTCACGTCTTTTTGTGGTGTAACTGAGCTTGCGGTCATAGCTGCTGGCAGAACAGTGGGGATCAGGGGGATCTGGCCAAGCTGGAAATGTTAGGTGGGGTTCATAGCCCAGAACTGAGTCTGTGGCTTGAACAGCTTGCGAATTGTCTTAAGCCAGTAGCATCTTCTGTGCTCTCTGCCAGATAACAGAGCTGCTTAAGACTGGGTAGTTGGAGGAAGGAATAAAAGCCATCGGCCCTTTATTTCAGGGAGAAAGAATTCAAGAAAAACAAAAGATCAGAATAAACATGTACAAAATGGCCACCTTAAGACCTCTTTACCTCTGCTCGGTCTGTGATAATATCAGAAAGCAGAAGATTAGAAATATTATTACATTTATTTTTATGTATTAAATATATAACATTTATTACACATACACTTTTTTCCATATAATTTCTAAATAAAATATTCAAAACATGTTTTACCCATGTATACATGAGTAGCCTAAATACTGAGTATTTATCAGTAGGACAGTCTTGCTGCTGAAGTCAATACAAACCAGGACCATAAGAGTAACTACCCAAAGAGGTATGTAAGGTATCAGTGCTCAGTGTTTCCACCCAGGTGTAAGTAGCTCTGTGTAGTAATCCCAGGCCCAGAAGGGAAGTCCACCCAAACAAACCCTGCCCAAACCCCTCCAGGCAAGGGAGCCTCATGCAGGATGGGAGCAGGGGGTAGACAGATAATGAAGTCACCACTTCCCATGCAAATACAGACAATCCTTCTCACAAAGCAAATTGCTTCACACTGACACCAAGAAACCCAGACAAAAACAGGTCCCTAAATGCTAGGTGCTAGGAAAAAACAGCTAGGGAGGCGTTTCTGTCCTTCCAGATTCCCCAAAGGGTTATTATCAACTGCAAAGATACAGAATCATTCCACTATCATACTCCTGTACAGCTGGAGAAGTAATAAATTTGAGATTAATCCATCTGCTCGAGATCACACTGGAAATTTTGGCAAAGCTGCACACTGGAGACAAGTGCACTGAGATCCAGCAGGTACCTTACTCCCGAGGAGTAAACATGTACATACAGTGTGATCCCTTCATCACAATAAAAATCTTGTCCTTTACAACTGCTAAACATTCACAGAATCAATTTTCACTTGTAGTTTCCTAAAGTATTTGAGTGGTATTGCTGAAACCCTCCATAGGATGTGCTGTAGGCCCTGAGCAACCACCTTACTCTCTACAGGTGTGTAGGCATTTTGCTCCCAGAGAGGCTCCACAGTGAGGATGACTTGTTGTGCTCCTCCAAGCAAGCAGCAAGAACCAAGCACAGGGATTTCATTGCAAGGACTTCTTGAAACCTTTTGATTGAGTGGCACAGCAAAGATGTCCAAGCACTTTCGGCCCTTCAGGTGGAGAGGCTGCCTCACATAGCTCACGGCTGCTCCCTGTCCCTGCAGCATGCCACCACTCACTGTTAGCATCCTAGTCCTTTGCTTTTCAAATTAAAGAGATTTTTGGCAGCAATTGCAGCCTTTACTAGATAATGAAAGATATTATCTGAGAAGTAAGGGGCAGATTTTAGAAAGACCTTAAGTAAACAGAAATTTTAAGGGCATAATGAACAGTAAGAGTAGTTGGGCAACCCACATACGGAGCACTAATATACCATATTCCACCATATTCCATTTGCTTCTGTGAAAATGGAGGTCACAGCTGAGCTCTTTCCAGTGGATTTCTTGGAGCAGAGCCCTGAATCTGGAAGTCCTGAGAAGCCACCCTCTGCAGAAAAGGAGATTGGCCCATCCTTCCCATTACAGAGTAGTAATGGCATCAGTTTGTTGTCACTGCTGTTTCCCCAGAGCTGAAGCAGGGCCTGTGCAACACAGGCTCCTACACCCCCATCCCCACCCCCCCATAATTTCACAGCCATGCGGGTGGGAGTTGGTGGCTCATTGCTACGCTTGGGTTGTTCAGAGGAGCTGCTCTGGAGGTGGGCTGTACTCGAGTGCCGTGTTAACTGCAGGGGAACCTGCTGTGGAGAGAGGAGAGGTGTGTATGTCTCGTGTAATCCACACCAGCTGTAAGTAGATGAATACAAGCCTTTTTACATACTGCAGTCCTGAGATAATGCTGGGTGGTGCTACACATTTAGTTGGAAAAACCCAAACTAGTGGGAAAATGTTTCTGAAATATTAAACATTTCAGGAGGTTTAAATCCACCTGAGACTGAGTAAAAAGTCTAACAGGGCTATTTCACACCCTGTGATATGTATGAAAAATATAAAGTCCTAAATCATAAAATCTAGACAAGATTAAAATATTAAAACTGGCATTGTAGCAATCATTGATAACCTGGGGTGCAGCCTGGCATCTCTAAGAATGAAAGGTGATGTGCAGGAAAGATCAGCTGAATTTTATCTCTTTTTCTCTTAAATAAAGTCATATATTTTATGGCAGCTGTGCACAGCTTGGTCTTCCCACAGACTGGGGCTTTCCTGGTGTAAATGCAGCTGTTAAATTCATTCAGGACCTTATGGACAATTTAGTGTAAGTTCAGGACGATGTTGTGGATTGAAGCTGAACCAGACCAAACTTTGGACTGAAAAAGCACAGAGAAAGCAAGACCTCCCTCTAGTGTCTGGAGAGTCCTGGGAAGGAAATGAAGAGAAAGAAAAAAAACAAAAAACAAAAAACCAAACCACCCCCGAGTAAAAAAAATAAATGCATAAAAGACAGTAGATAGAAGGGCTAAAAAGAGTGCATAAATGGGCTATAAATGGAACCTACCTGTTGTTTTGAATTTTGAAATGAGGTTCCCGGCAGGTAGATTTCAGTGATTTGCTGTGGTAATAAATATTATTTATCTTCATAATGAGGAGGATGCAGAAAGTGGGAACACACCAATAAAAAAGGATCTGCTAATGGAAAAAACTTGAGAGCCTTTGGTGGGGACGTCAGCCCAGAAGAATGGCCTGGGCAAGGAGTGAGAGAGAGATGAGCTGAGCCAAGGCCTTGCAGAGGGTACGTGGTTTGAGCTCACTAACAAGAACCACTTATTTTCCCTCCTTCAGTTCTACCATTAAGGCACTCAGCCCAGGAAAGGAGCCTTAAGCTGATGTCGCACCTCTGTCAAGGTGGGAAAAGAAAAGGTTAGAAGCAAGCCTTGAGCAGTAGGTTGCCAGGTGGTTTTGGAAAAGGAGTTTTCCATTTCTTCTGCTGACAGTGGGCCATGGGGCAGGAAGGCTGGCCCTGGTGGCTGGAGGGGTGCAGGTGCTTGTAGAGGGCTGTGTTTCACTGGCCTGGGAACATTTTCATGTGGAGCTAAATCATAAAGGTGTGATGCCCACCAGATATATCTTAAAACCTTGTGGTCTGCTCAGGAGACAGCAGCCTGAATTTACCAGCCCTTAGCAGAGCCTTGTGTTACCTGAAAGCTGCTTTACTGCTGAAAGAGAAGGCTGAGCTGGGCTTCAGTGCTTTACCAGCCCCATGCCTTTAAGCAAGTTCCTTTTAATATTCCCACAGTATGTTTGTGTACCAGAGCAACACCGTTCGCAGTCAGTGGAGCTGAACCTGTGTGAATGGAAGCATAAATACAGTAACTAATTCTTTGTTGATTTTTTTTTTTTTTAAGGGAGAAGAAAAATCCCTTGACTCTGACATTTACAATAGACATTATTTGCTCTCTGACATTTGAGCTGATAAACTGAGGTCGACCAAATTTCTGGTTTTAACTTACCCCACTGTATGAGACAAGATATGAACTGACTGGCTGACCCTCTAAACAGCAGCAGGCCTGTCCATTGCTCCCAGCATGTGAGTTATGAAGACTGGTAGTTATTTCAGTGATGATGAACTAAGCCTCAAGAAAATAAATGAGGCATCCTCAAAAGTGTATGGCAGAGCACAGAACTGACTGAGGGTCTCCTACAGCCCAGTCTTGTACCATAATTTATTTTCCATTGATCCCACAGGTATTCAGATGGCTGCATGCACCAAATCAACAGTGCTAGGTCTGCACCAGCAACCTGGGAGGTACGTAATTTAGCAGTGACTGCTATGGCTATGCAGCTGCACCCACAGCAGGGAGTTTCGGGGCAGCGGCCGTGACTGCTGCCTCTGCTGCCTGTGCCCGGGTGTTGTGTGGCTCAGGAGCTGCTGGTGCCTGCCTGCAAGGCACGGCATGGACATGGACATGGACGGGAGAGGCTGCCCCAGGCTGCTTTCCTGAGGTTGAGTGACAGTGGTGACGCCACCTTGCTTTACTGACATCAAGACACAGCTTTAAAAGGATGAGAATTAGGACAAGGTTTTCATAACTCCTTTGAAGACAGGTCAGCTGAAGCAGCATTAACAGTGGTTTTATGTGTCTGCATTAGCCCAGTGTGGAATGGATGAACAGAAACAATGTAACCTTGCTCTGGGCTCAGTGGTTGGGTGAGTAAATGCAGGGGTAAATGGATGACTGTAGACTGAAGAATTCAAGGTTAAGCCAGGAGCCAAGGCAGAGCATGAAGAGCAGAGGGTTTGCCTGATCTCCCCCCACTCCCCTTCTGAGAGGGGACTCAAAGTGGCAGTACATGCTTCAATAAAATCTCATTTCTAAATGGGGAGAGTGACAAAGATATATTTAAGAAGATGCAAGATACTCCTGTCCTGCTGATTTCATTAAGACAAACTGCTCTGCTTGAAGAAGAAAGATTATGTAGTGCTCCTTTAAGTCAGCATGTACCAGGTTCAATCAGCCAGCAGTGCAGCTGGCCTTACCCTCAGCCCTGAACAGGATGTAAACCAAATTCCTTCTAATCCAGAGCTTGGTCCAGAATGGCTTTCTCCTGTCAGCATTTTGGCACTCATCTGAAGCATGGAGAGGGCAGCAGCAGCTGTGAAATGATACAGCAGTATTAACACTGCTGGGCTTAATACTGTTACCTGACAATCAGTCAGGTAACTAAGCTTTTCTGATGGTTGTACAGATTTTGTTTGCTGGTAATGTCTGAAGGGAAACAAAAAAACCTACGAAGAGTGCCTTGAGACAAATGTAGGA